AATACTGATTATTGCCACAACTTCACAGAGTCCCAACATCCTGACCAACCAACATTTTGAATCATGTAATTGTATAACCTCAAAGGTATTTTCATGTCCTAACCAGGGAACCTGTCAATGTAACCTCACTTGGATATAAGGCCTTGGCAGATGTAGGCTACTGTCTTCATAGGAGGAGAAATCAAAAACAGGGATAAGCAGACAAGAAAAGGCCATGTGAAAACACTGGCAGAGATTGCACTGAGGGGGCTGGAGACTTCAGTTAACAGCCACAGAGCTGGAAAGAGGCAGGTTTCGGGCTTTAGCCTCCACAACTATAAACCAGTAACTTTCAGTTGTTCCATGTCTAAGAAGCCAATCATGGGGGCTGGAGAGACGGTCAGTGGTTAAGGGCATTGGCTGCTCTTCCAGAGGTCCTGAGTTCAATTCCTAGCAACTACATGGTCGCTCCCAACCATCTTTTTGAGATCCCGTGTCCTCTTCTGGCATGCAGGCAGAACACTGTATACATAATAAATAAATCTTAAAAAAAAGAAACCAATAGTGGGAAACCAATCCAAAGGCAATGCTTCTACCTGAGGATGAACACCTGGAGCCGAGATCCATCAAGGAAGACTCTGGGGCAGGCCTGGTGGGGACAGATCTGTGATTTCGATACTGGTTTGTGTATGTGTACGAGAGAAGAGTTGGAGGCCAGCCTAGGCTACACAGTGAGACCCTGTCCCCAAACAAAACAACATGAAAAAGAGAAGAGGCTGACGAGATGGTTCAGAGGGAAAGAGCACTTGCTGTTCTTGCACAGGACTGGAGTTTTCAGCACCCACATGGTGGTTTTCAAACATCTGTAACACTATTTCTACACAACCTCTTCTGACCCGCAGGCAATAGACAGCATTCATATGCATAGAATTAAAAAAATAAAAAGAGGGCTGGAATGATGGCTAAGACTATGTACATACAGTTCCTAGTGGACCTGAATTTTCAGCAACCACATCAGGTAGCTCACAACAGCTTATAACTCCAGCTTCAGGTGGCCCTACACCTCCTCTGGAACCTGCACTCACATGACATATGTAGTGGAAAGATTTGATGTCTTTTTTAAAAAGATTTATTTACTACATATATAGTGTTTAGCCTGTGTGTACGCCTGCACACCAGAACAGGGCATCAGATCTCATTATAGATGGTTGTGAGCTACCATGTGGTTGCTGGGAATTGAACTCAGGACCTCTGGAAGAGCAGCCAGAAATGCCCTTAACCTCTGAGCCATCTCTCCAGTCCAGTCCAGTTTTGATGTCTTTAAAAAATCGGTTATGTAGACATGTTTTTGTTTTAATCCCAGGTGTGGGATATGGGGCTGATTCAGATTGTCCACAGCAGCAAACTATTTGCCTGGTGTGGGCTTCGAAATGGGGCTGTTTACCAGCTGCAGATGGTTTAATTGAGGACTCTGGAGAGGGAATGCCAGAGCCCAGAGAGAGAAAGGACAACCCAAGGTGCTTCCTCCCTGCTGCTCCTGGTTGCTGTTGGTGCAGTTTGACAAGAAGTTGGAGATATCCTGAAAGGAAGACTGGACTTGCCCCAAGTAATTAACATCCCTAACCAGCAAGAAGTAGCTGAAGAGAACTCTCCCCCCTTTCCCTTCTAACCTTCTTTCTCTCCAACTGGGGGTTGGGAGGTAGAGGCTTAAGGAACCCCAAATAAAAGTTTTTAAAAGGTACTTCACACATACCCATACCCACAATTAAAAGAATAAATCCTTTTTTTCTTTCCTCTCAAGACAGGGTTTCTCTGTGTAGCCCTGGCTGTCCTGGAACTAACTCTGTAGACCAGGTTGGCCTTGAACTAACAGAGACCTGCCTGATCCTACCTCCCAAGTGCTGGGATTTAAGGCATGCACTACTACAACAGGCTAAGAATAAAATAAATCTTTTTAAAAATGAGAAGAAAAAGTAGTCTCTCACCTAGTGTCTGGAAGAAGGGGTGTTTTTTTCTGAGTGACAACGTCAGTTGGCTGTCCCAGACGCTCTGACGGGCTGGGTGATCAACCTAGGAGCATCTTTGGTGAAAGATGGGTCTGCTGTTATTCTGGGCTGAGGTTTGTACCTGAAGTGAATACTGGACCCCAGAGACAGATGCCTCAGGTCTCTGAGGCAGGACTTGCATGTGAGAAGGGGTTCTTAGCCAGATTTCTGTCTTGTGTACTTTGATTCTACCTGATGGGGGGTCTAGGTAAGTGGAAAAACCTTGCAGAGTTGCCCAGGAATCCAAGAGCATTCCCAGGGATTTCCAGTGGCCTTTGGCTAGGTGGGACCTCAGGTGGAGCCCTGGCCTCAGGGACCACCTAGACAGCAGAATGATCAGTTCTGGGGAGGTTGGGGTTAGGAGGTCCTTCAGTGGTTCTGCCTGGGCTCTGGGCCTTCCCCCACACCCTTTGTGGAGACAGAGGCCACCTGGGGCATGGGAGGAGGGGCAGTCCAAACTCTATTTCCACTTGGAAGCCCTCTTTATTTGGCCTGGGACAGAGAAAGCCCGGGGTCAGAGTGCACACATCTCCATGGAAACAGCAATGAGCCTGGCCCCTAGGGGACCCTAGGCCTAGTAGGGGGTCTCAATTTTTTTTTTTTTTTTTTTTTTTTTTTTTTTTAAGTAAGGGGTCTGGGCCCAATCTCTGGCAAAAGCTTTAAAAAAGTGCCAGCCATGAGGCCTGGAGGAGCAGGCAGGCAACTGGACTTCACTCAGGGACACACAGAGAAGCAGAAGAGCAGATTGAGCCTTTAAGGAATGCAGGCTCCAGATAGGAAAATACTGAGTGAAACAGCTTGGATGTGGCGTCTTTAGAGAAAGGACAAGCTTTAGAGAGACCAAAGAAGGGTTAACTGTTGTTGCTGTTCTTGTGGCCTGCTCCACTAAGGGCCCACCTGGGATCTGAGTCTCACCAGCTGGCCAAAGACTTCTAAGAATATCTCCTCTGATAGTCTCAGAACTTCTAGCTGCCAGTGCATCTAAACAGGTTACCTATAGAATGAAAATACTGACTTGGATCCCCTGGGAGTCCGGTATTGGAAGTATGCAAACCTTGGTAGATGAGTTTCTTTTTCCTCAGGAGTGGAGTCCTATTTAGGCCCTTTTTCTGCCTAGGAGTACTATACCACACATAAAGTATTATATGTGGTTAGAACCCCTGGGCAAGGCTGGCTAGACTTGCTGATGGGGGTTTACGAAGGCTCAAGCTGAGCAGGAAAAGTACAGCCTCAAACAACATTCAAGATAATTCAAGTACATTTTCGTTTGGATTACATCTGCATGCTGACTCCAGTACTCTAAATGCAGTTTTGTTTTGTTTTGTTTTTAGTATTCCTACTGTCAGATCTGACATCAGTAAGCCACATGGTTTCCCACATGTGCTGTGGGGATCTGCGAGGTGCTGGGGGGTTAAGGCAGTGGGCCTAGGGGGACAGAGGTGACTTACTCGCCACTGCTAGAGGAGTTTGGATGATGTCCCAGGAGTGCATGGTGCTCGGTGCTAAAGCACTGGCTAACCATCTCAGTGAACACATCCTGCCCGACTCACCATACTGTGTGGATGAAAGGTTATATGGAAGGCCTTGTGGAGCCAATGTGCCTTTGGCCAGCTCCTGCTAGTATTACGCAGATGAAGTCTGTTCCAGCTAGTCTCTGCGATCCTGCCCCCAGGCCTTTCCTGGGCTTGGATCGTCAGGGTTTCAGGGCTTGCTTAATTTTCATGGACAACGCCTGGGTTTGAGGTTTTTTTTTTTTTTCCTCACCCCTTTCAATCCCAAGAACCAGACTAGGAACATTCCTGGGGATTAGGGGCGACCTGTAGGCAAGTTAAGTATCCTCAGAGCAAAGGGATGGGGCTGAGTCCTGGACCACAACCCACAGCAGCACCCAGAGCTGGAGTCTGGACACCCGCCAAACCTGACAGGAAGTGGAGGCAATCGGAGTGCTGACAGTAGGAAGCAGTGGGCTACAAAAGTGATCCGAAAGGGAGCCAGGACCACGCTCTGATGCTCTGGGAGCTGTCCTCAGGAGGCTGAGAACATTCTGTGGCTGGCTTGGTCCGGGGGACACCAGGAGATGGGGGCCAGGGTCTCGGCCTCCCAAGAGGCTGAGTCCTAACTTGTAAAAAGCGAGTCAGACCTTCCCGGACCACCGCCCTTCTCGCGTCTCTAATCTCACTCCTCCGACCCTGCGTGCGCACGCAAAGCACGCAGGCTGCCCCGACCCGCCGGGGCTGCGTTCTGATCCGCCGTTAGCGACGCATCTCCGGAGACTCTGCCTCCCGACGCCTTCCCGGGACGCCGAGTCGTTCCTCTCTGACAAGTGATTCTCCCCGCTGCTGACAGCCGGGCCGGCCCGGCGACGCAGGACGAGGCCAGGCCCTGACCTCAGGACCCGGAGCGCCCCGCGAACAGGCTCAGGGACGCGCGCCCCGCCCGCGGGCGACCCTGCGCCGCCGCGGCCAGCCGTCCACGCCGGGAGGCGAGCGGGCACCCGCGCGCCACGAGCTGCTCCCGCCAGCCGCTGGCGCTCGAGGCCCGGACGCTGGGCGGGGCCGCGGCCTCCCGCGCTCCCC